CTGCCCACGCGCGTCGTGTGCGAAGGCCAGAGTTGCCCATCACAGTGCCGGGGTCCCGAGCGGTTCGCCCTGGCTGTGGCCCCTCGGCAAGCAGCGCCTTTGCTTGGGCCCATTCATGGCGCCCAAAGGGCTTCAAGCTGATGCGGGTGGGAGAGGGGCGAGTGCCGCACCGCGGGCAGGCTGGCCCTGACGCTGGCACAGCGGTTTCTACGCCAGGGGTGTACCAGCGGCACGCAGAGCCCGGCTCCGGGGCGAGACGCCCTGTGGCTCCCTCCCTGCCCCATCCCACCCGCCGGGGCTCGCCCAGACCCTGCTCGGGCAAATAATATAACCCAGGAGCACCCAGATCCCATGGGCCTGCGGGCTGCAGGAAAGCCAGCCGCCCTTGGGGACCCAGCCGGAGATGCCCCAAAGCCGCTCCGAAACGTGTGGGGAGCGGTGGGCACAGGACACCTCCCCGCGCCGATTCCCTGTGTGCACAGGGAGATGCAGATTAGATAGATCATTTCTGTAGGGAGCCGGGTTTATAATCCATCTGTATAAATTCTTGGCATATTTCTCCGAGGATGTGGAGTGTATTTACCTGTTTTCAAGGCTGACAAAGGGGGTGAGAGGGTCTGGGAATCCCTGGGGAGAGGGACGGGCTTTGCCCCCCACCTGCGTGTGAGGCTGGGGTGGGAAATGCCTCTTTCTCGGTCTGCGTTGGCGGCCGGGCTTCGCCGGGGTTAATTTTGTGCAAGAAGAAACCACCTTTCCTTGATTTCGGTGAAGAAGGACCGCGGAGCCAGGGCTGTAAACTGGTTTTCCAGTATTACAAAGCACTCCTGGGTTGGTTTGTTTTTTTTTTTTTTTTTGCATGTAAAGTCCTGGTGAAGATTGGACAATTAATGTGTTTTTTCATTTTGGTGACAGAATAAAAAAAAAATGGGCTTGTGTTGAATCAAAAGGTTTTCCTCGCTGGCTTTTTAGGTTAACCAAAAAAGAGAAAAAAAAAAAAGGCCAAACAAACACTCAAACGTTTCATTTTGGGTCAAGTCCAAACATTTTGTTTAACATGAAACAAAATGTTTGGGTTTGGTTTCAGGTTGTTTAACCCTTTTGAATACGGTCAAGTTGATTTGTAAAGAAAAATCACTGCTCAGAAATTAAGAGCCAAATAATTGTTTTGAAAGTGTAAATGTGAAACATGCTGGAAATATCAAGGTGAAGCCTTTCTTAAAATAATAAAATGGAGGGAAAGTCAGGGACTTTTTTGCTAATTCTCACGTATTTTCTCCCAGCCAAAATGCTGCCAAATTTTATTTAAATTCAGAAATCATGTCTGAAACCCCCGAGTCACTTGTTTGACATTTTAGAAGCGTGCTCTCTTGCACTGGCTCGTGATTTAACTCTGGGAAAATGATGCCCTTGGCTTAGTTGTGAACCAAACTGCTAGTAGAAATGATAATGAGCTCTGTTCCATTAACTTATTATTAATCAGTAATTAGTAGGATCGGTTAGGTGACATGAACTGCTCGTGACAAAAGTCCGTGTGAGCCCCTCGGCTTGGGCACGGTGGCCGGCACGGTGGCCGGCGGGCTTTGCCCTGCTTCGCTTTCCCGGTCGGGAAGGAGCGGGCGGAGGAGAGCTGCGGTGGAAGGACATTTTCTTCACGTCCTTCTTGTTGGCTCCCACCTTCTCCTGGGGCAGCATGAAGACCCCGGAGCCCCGCAACCCCCTGTGCCGCGACTCTCCCCGTGGGCTCCTGGTGCCGACTGGCTTCCCCGCGCCGGCAGCCGGCGCCCGGCAGAGAAGTGCCCCTGCCTGCTCTGGG